GGCTGAGCCCCCGAGCCCGGCTCCAAAGCCCACTCTTAAGAATGCATCCAGGGCCGGGCTCGGGGGCTCAGCCTGTAATCTCAGCACTTTGGGAAGCTGAGGAGGGTGGATTGCCTGAGCCCGCGGGTTCGTGACCCGCCCGGGCAACTTGGGGAGACCTCGTCTCTACAATAAACCCAAAATTAGCCGGGTGTGGCGGCGTGCATCCGCAGCTACTTGGGAGGCGCAGGCGGAAGGATGGCCTGATCCCAGCAGGTCCAGGCTGCGGTGGCCTCGAGCGGGCCGCTGCACTACAGCCTGGCGAGAGTGAGACTCCCAAGGCACCCTGCTACATAACAACTTCCGGAACGGCGAATGGGCACCCAGGATCGGGAAGCCGCGGGTGTCCTGCTAGGGCTGCAGGCTAATGGGGGTCCCTGCGCAGGAAGGAAGCCTGCTTCCGACAGACCCAGCGCCAGCAGGGAGTCCTCAGAACCCTGGGAAGCAGGAGACGAGCACGTGGGGAGAGAGAAAGGGGACGGACGCGCAGCAAGCGCCCTCTGTCTTCCCGGTGCCTCCCCTGGTTCATATAACGCCAGGCAGGTCTCCATGTTCCCGGTGGGGGCAGACACGCTCACTTGCCCCTCACTCGCCACCCCGGCCAGTCCATGCGATTCCCATGCCCGGGTGCTTCCCGTCTTCAAGGTGGGATGGGTGGAGACGGTCTGGGAAGTCGCGGGGCGACCCTGGGGACCGGGGCCCGTGCTCCCTCCGTCCGACCTACTGTCTGCGCCCTCTCGGCGGGAGCCCGTCGACGAGCCGGGCCCTCCGCCCCCCACCCCGGCCACGGCACCGCCCCGGACGGGAGCCAGACGCGCAAGGCGATCCCGGCCGGCGAAGTGGCGAGGCTCGGAAGCCGGGCATGTTCAAACCACCCTATCAGAGGCTGGCTCTTTAAATGCCCCAGCCAATCGGAGGCAGGGGCGTGTCTTTCGTGGCGCTCTGCCTCCCGGCGCCGGGGCGGGACCCCGGGCACGCCAGAGGCGGGGCTTTACAGGCGTGGCCGCGCGCCCCGACTTGAGTGGGCGGTGGGCGTGACCCGAGGCAGGGGGCTGCGGCTGGCGGCGCGTGGGTGATGTCGCCCAAGCGGCTCTGAAGATTTACTTTCAGAGCCTCTCTTCCAACGCATGCCCTCTCTCCTCGGCCCACACACAGAGGCTGGGCTTGGGTTTGGTCACTCACAGCGCCAGGGTTCGCTCCCGGGCTGACCACTCCAAGGCCTGCCCCTCACCGCTTTCCGCTTTTCTCCGCCTTTGTAAGGGGCATTTTATGCATTTGTCATGCACACCCAATTGAGGCAGGCCCCTGAGTAAGGAACTCTGAGATCGGTGCCAGGTGCCAGAGGGTGCAAGGAAAGTGTGTGAGTTCGTCTTCAGATAATTTTTAATTCCTCTTGTGGCACAGGATACTCAAACAACTTATTTTTAATTATCTTTATTCCCTCGTTGAAGCTTGGCATTACATAGCTGGAAGGGGTCTTACAGGTGAGTCTAGCTACTTCATTTTATAGATAATGAGAGCTACCACAAATTAAATTGCCCTTGTTTTTCTTTTCTCTTTTTCTTTTTTGAGTTGGAGTCTCATTCTGTTACCCAGACTGGAGTGCAGTGGCATGCTCACACCACCACTACCTTGACGTGCTGGGCTCAGGTGATTCTTTTGCCTGTTTTCCAAGTAACTGGAACTACAGGCATGCACCACCGTGCCTAGCTAATTTTTTGACTTATTGTAGAGAGGCAGTCTTACCAAGTTGCCAAGGCTGGTATCTAACTCTTGAGCTCAGGCAGTCCTCTTGCCTCCGCCTCTCAAAGTGCTGGGATTACAGGTGTGAGCCACCGCACCCGGCTCCAAGAAGAAAAATGCCAAGGCTCCAAGAGGTGTTACCAAAGGTCACACAGCTCATAGCAAAGCCAGACCTTGAACTCAGGTCGTTTGCTCGCTTATCCACCACACCTGCTCCGTTACTGCACCACCTGCTCCCACGTAACTGGCCTGACTTCATGGAGGGGAGAACCTGAACTGGAATCTCAGCTACTGACAGCCACAGCAATGCCCCAATTCTGCTAGTTAGATGTCACCCTGAGCAAGTTTCCTTAGTGTCTCAAGCCTGTTTCCTCCTATGTAAAAACAGGAGAAAGACAAATTGTTCTAAAATTGATTGTGGTGAAGTTGTACAACTCCGTGACTGCACTAAAAACCACTGAATTGTATGCTTTGGATAGTTAAATTGTATGATATGTGAATTATATTTCTTTTCTTTTTTTTTTGAGTTGGAGTCTCACTCTGTCTTCCAGGCTGGAGTGCAGTAGCACGCTCACGATCATCCCAGCGTTGACCTGCTGGGGTGTGGTGATCCTTCCGCCTCAGCCTGCCCAGTAGCTGGAACTACAGGTGCGCTACCATGCCCGGCTAATTTTTGGTATATTGGTTATTGTACAGACGAGGTCTCACCAAGTTCCCGGGCTGGTGTTAAACCCGCAGGCTCAGGCAATCCCCTTGCCTTAGCCTCCCAAGTGCTGGGATTGCAGTCTGAGCCACCGAGCGTGACCGTGAATTATATTTCAATAAAGCTGTTAGAAAGAAATCAGGGGCCAGGCTCGGAGGCTTAGCCTGTAATCCCAGCACTTGGGGAGGCAGAGGAGAGTGGATTGCCTGACCCCGCAGGTTCCAGGCCAGCCTGAGGAACTTGATGAATCTTGTCTCTACAACATATCAAAAAATTAGCTGGGCGTGGTGGTGCATGCCTATGGTTCCAGCTACTTGGAAGGCTGAGGTGGAAGGATCGCTGGAGCCCAGCAGGTTGATGCTAGAGTGGATGTGAGCATGCCACTGCACTCCAGGCTGGGCGATGGAGTGAGACTCTGACTCAAAATAATAATAATAATAATGATTAAGCAGGGCTCGGTGGCTCAGCCTGTAATCCCGTACCTTGGGAGGCTGAGGTGAGTGAATTGCCTGAGCCTGCGGGTTCGAGACCAGCCTGGGCAACTTGGTGAGAC